AAGCATTTTCATGCAGTTGGTCTGAGGACACCTTAGGATGTAGATACCCTCATATAGTGTATGAAGTTAAACATATTAATGATCTGTGTGAGGTATTACTTTGATGCAGAGACAAGGTGAAGACCATGTAATTTGTGCATCATATTTGTTAGTCCCTACTTTTCATATTATTTATTTATTTATTTTTTTACCATATTCTTCCAATTTTCATTTTAAATCATCATCCTTAGTACAATTCTCATGGGCATAGATAAATTTGGGAAGACCTAGGTTTTCTTTGATATAAGGGTGAAGAATGATGTAAAAGATTAATATTCTCTTTATTTATTTTAGAAGTTGCATTTATATATACTTTTTCTGATAACTGATTCCCATAATAAATTTTGGGAGAGTTCTCAATTTTTTTTTGTCTTAGAATCTCTGCCTCTGTTGCATTGCTATTCCTTCATTGTATTCTTATATTGTTACAAAATTCCTGTCAGTACCACAACATGACAGATTTTTAGTATGATTGACACAAAGTCCTCAAAAATCATTGTCACTTGAAATTAACTCATTAATGCTGTGTATATGCACTGCCCACTGTTAACATTTTCTGTATTCTTGGGGTCTGTTGTGTGTGGTTGTGCATACATAGTTGTGTATAAGTGCATAATTCTGTACAAATGTATAGTCATTTGATTTTTTCTCTTGTACTTCCACATTTTTCTCTGCTTCTCCATATTACATCTAATAGCATATGATTAATAAAACCACACACACACACACAAAAATTATATATATATATATTAAATATGTTATTTAATTGGTATATCATATGCATGTTAGTCCCAGGTTACATGAATTTATCATATGGATATACAATACAATAGCTAATTGTGTTTCATTTGATGTTCAGTCAGTCTGAAAGGAGAGTTTTTATTGAGGTTAATGTTGTAATGCAGTCATTCACATTAGATTTATATTTACTGAAATATGACATTCATGTAGCAGGGTGACTTTCAAGAACTAGCCAAATTTGTATAGGTCGCTTCACAAAACATTTCTTTGGTACTTAAGACATTTATGGTTATTGAAATCTCAGTCTTTTCCTCTTTCTGAAATGCCCTCAACCTTTTCTTAGTATGGTGATGGTAGAGTGCTCTTTCCTTCTTCTCCTCTTCCTCTTCCTCTTCCTTTTCCTCTTCCTCCTTCCCTTCCCCTTCTTCTATATTCTTGTGTAAATAGTTTTGGTACAAGTCTATGGTAAAGGTCTATTGATAATGGTTTATCTCTCCCTCAGAGGCCCTCATACCTATGGTTCTGACATTGTGGCTCATCCGATCACCACCATTTCCATCTCAACAGCCCATCCATGACTGCTTCTTGAATATCACACTTGAGAAATCAAGCAGGTCTCTGTCAGAGGTCAAGGAGAATTTTTTTTTTTTTTTCTAAAGCCAAAATACTCTTCCCCCCTACTGAATTTTAACTAAATGTTTGAACTTGGCTTGCACTTAAAAAAAAAAAAAAACACTCAAAAGAGAATAAAGAGAGAGAACTGTTGTAGTAAAGTTAATGAGTGTGAAAAAAAATAACGGTCTGCACGTGGAAGAGCACAAGATTCCCAGGATCCTGGCATAGAGAGATATGTGCCTTTTGATCACATAGTTGATTCTGACATTGTCTAGAATTCCTGCTTATCCTTGTTCATAACCTTTGCATTTACACTGTTAGTGACTTGCTTCATAAGACAGTATGTTAGGATACTGATTGTGAGGATACCAAGAACCCTTAGCTAGCAAGTGCTAGTATATATTTCACTCTTTTTTTTATGTTCTGATACCATGTCATATATTATTTAATGACTCATGGTATATGAATGTTACTATGATAACTCTTTCTTTTTTATATTATTTTCCTTTTCCCTTTTTTCTTTGTAGTAATCTTCTAGAAATGACCTTGACAAAGAGAGAAAGAAAAAAGAAAAAAAAAAAAAGTTGATGTGTCTCATAACTAAGAGATTACAATGAATGTGCACACTTGACATTGTCTTTTGTAGTATATTGCAAAGGGGTTAGACTAGTTTTCTTATTTATTCATTCACAGTCTCTTTTGCAGGAAGAGGAAGACAAAGATCTTGGAGATTTTGAGAAGAATTGGAAGTTTGATTTTGATGAAGGTGAAAAGGAATAATTCAGGATAGAATGACCACGAGGGAATTTTGCAATTTTATACAAAGAGATAACAGGTGGGGAGGAAATTTTATCTGTTATCATGGATTTCCACGGTGATTTATATTTAGCTATAAATAGGGTAATTTAATCAGTACTTTAGCATTCACAATGTAAAATTGATAGGCAAGTTTGGCCTTCATGACCATGTAAGCTTTTTGTGAGTTGAATACATGCCATAGTGTGCACTTGTAAACATACATATGCACAAGAATATGTATGTGGGTGCAAGTGAGTGTGAATGCATCTTTCATTGTTAAGCTGTGTCAGAAATATAGCATTATTTTCATTTATCTTCATCCTTGTTGACAAAATGGAGAAGCTGAGATATGTATAAATCAAGAATCATAATGTCATGTATTTATTATCAGAAAAAAAAATCATATGGCTCATCCAAGTCATTAATTTGCTTGTGAGTTTTATTGCCTATACAAAGAGCTTTAAAAAGTACACTGTATTTAGAATTTGAATTGCAGTTTTTTTTTTTTTTTTTTGGAAAGCTTTATTTATTTTTTCTTCTCTTTCTTGTCCTTAGTATCATTAAGGAAATATTTATGAATATAGCTTATGGTTAGAGGTTTGATATCCATGCCATACAAAAGAATGGGGGAAAAAAATGCTGAATGCCAGTAGAAATATTAAGGGGCAATAAAGAACAATATTTCTTACCCAATCACTGAGAAATATTTCTGCCTTTTTTTCAATAGTGCTGAAGTAGTTACACATTTTCTTTATTTTCTTACACAGTGAAGAGCTAGCATTGTTACAATCACAGGACTGTGTCAGTACAATTTGCTCACTAGTAATGACATTTATATTGTTGAAGCATCATGAACACCTTAGTTTTTTTATGTCCTTTTAAAACTGAGAATTAAACTAGCTTGCCAAACTAGAGATGTGAAATGAGGAGTTATACTGATATGTAAAAATTCAGATATATAATTAATTTGAGTTGTTTATTTTCTTTTATCTTTGGGTTTATTCTCTCTCTCTCTCTCTCTCTCTCTCTCTCTCTCTCTCTCTCTCTCTCTCTCTCTCTCTCTCTCTCTCTCTCTCTCTCTCTCTCTCTCTCTCTCTCTCTCTCTCTCTCTCTCTCTCTCTCTCTCTCTCTCTCTCTCTCATTCTCTCTCTCTCTCTCTCTTTCTCTCTCACTCTCACTCTGTCTTTTTCTTACTCTCTCTCTTTCTCACTCTCTCTCTTTCTCACTTTCTCTCTTTCTCACTTTCTCTCTTTCTCTCTTTCTCACTTTCTATCTTTCTCTCTTTCTCTCTCTCTCTCTCTCTCTCTCTCTCTCTCTCTCTCTCTCTCTCTCTCTCTCTCTCTCTCTCTCTCTCTCTCTCTCTCTCTCTCTCTCTCTCTTTCTCACTCTCTCTCTTTCTCACTTTCTCTCTTTCTCACTTTCTCTCTTTCTCACTTTCTCACTTTCTCACTTTCTCACTTTCTCACTCTCTCTCTCTCTCTCTCTCTCTCTCTCTCTCTCTCTCTCTCTCTCTCTCTCTCTCTCTCTCTCTCTCTCTCTCTCTCTCTCCCTCTCCTCACCTCTCCCTCTCTTCCTCTCCTCTCCCTCTCCTCACTCTCGCTCTCCCTCCTTCCCTCCCTCTCTCCTCCCCCACATTCTCTCTATCTGACTCTTGCTCACTTGTTCTTTCTCTCCCTTTCTCTCTCTTTCCCTCGCTCTCTCTTTCTCTCTTTTCTCCATTTCTCTTTTTTTTCCCTTTCTCTCTCTTCTCTCTCTTCTCTCTTTCTCTCTCTCTCTCTCTCTCTCTCTCTCTCTCTCTCTCCCTCCCTCCCTCCCTCCCTCCCTCCCTCCCTCCCTCCCTCCCTCCCTCCCTCCCTCCCTCCTTCCCTCCCTCCCTCCCCCCCTCTCTCTCTCTTCCCCCCTCCCTCCTTTTTTTTTTATTCCCCCTCATTCTCTCTGTCTCACCCTTTCATTCTCTTTCTCTCTTTTCTCCCTTTTTCTCTTTTCTGCCTTTCTCTCTTTCCTCCCTTTTTCTCTTTCCTCCCTCTCTCTCTTTCCTCCCTTTCTCTCTTTCCTTCCTTTCTCTCTTTCCTCCCTTTTTCTCTTTCCTCCCTTTCTCTCTTTCCTCCCTTTCTCTCTTTTCTCTCTCTCTCTCTTTCCTCCCTTTTTTCTTTTTTTTCTCTCTCTCAAGAAATATTGTGAGGACTATTTTAAGTACTATATGCTGTTTTATGATTATATTTGGGGAGTTATTGTTGAACTTATTACGATGCAGTTCCCTTTTGGTGAATTTAAAAGTTCTACGAGTTTTATGCCTGGGCCTGTTGTGGATGAAAGGATTGTCTGAGGTTTCATGCTAGGATTTAAGATACTGAAAATTCCAACTTTTATTTTTCTCCATTTTCTCTTTATTCTTGTCCTCTTCCTGCCTATTACTCTCTCTTCTTTTCCACCATAAACAGCGGCTCCTTCCTCCTCCACTTACTTCCTTTTTCTTCTGCTATTAAGGTGGTACCTGGATTTTAGAGTTAGAATTGAAGAGTTAACAAAAACAAGTTAGGAAGCCATTAGTGTTGGGTGCATGCATTCTCAACTCTTTCATTTGTTTTACTTAGTTTTAAGCACATTGGTGGCTCCATAAGTGCTTAGTCACCAGGGAGTCAAGTAGAAAGCCTACCTGATCTCACTTGGTTATTGTCTTTACCATTGTTATTATTGACATTATGATTATTATAATGTATTATCAATACTAATATGATAAAGGAAAGAGTAAAATTATCAAAAGACAAGGAAAAGGGTATACAGGGGAGATCTGGTAGACCTAATAACGAACTCCATGGTGACTAAGCACTTCTGTAGTGTTCAATGTGTAAACAAAGTTAATGAACTAAAGTCACTTCGGATTGTGCATGTAAGCACATACCATCCTGGCCTCATAGGGTGATTATGGAGCTGAAATTTCATAGTCGTATGTTATCTGTCTTGTGTTTGAGCATGAGCATTCTATGTCATGTCACTTTGTTCTCTTTTTCCCAATCCATATGAGATTTGGATAGTAAATTGTTGCAAGTTATGTAAATTGATAATCACTTAATTTTTCTAAATTGGTACATTCCACACTTGTTTACCGATAGGAATAATGCAAGAGCCGATTCCTAAATGGCCACTGAGTCTAATCACCCTCCAAGAGCTTTGTGTACTCCTGATGAGTCATTTCTGTCACATTTTAGGAATGCTAGAAGTGCTCATTCATATTACTCTGTATGTTTTAGGGTAGTTTCATCATATATTTCTTCTGTTAAGCCAAATTTTGAGATAAAGCCATCCAAAGTTACACGGGTAGGGGAACACTTGGCAGAAACAGAATAGCATACCCTCACTCAGTGACAGTCTCCAATTAACTGATCACCCTTTCCTCCTTCCCTGCATCTATGTGCTCCCTAGATTTAAAGAAAAAGGTATTAGATTTAATAGCAAAAAACAAAAACAAAAAAAAAAGAACAGCAAACCCAGTGCAACAGAGTAGAGTTAGGTCAGATTTTACTTCCACCCGAAGTGCAGTGATGCCTTCCACAGCCATTCCAGTAATTAGTTTTTAGAATTTTATATGTTGTTTTTGTATTTTTAGATGTCTGAGGATGACTTTGTTTAATTGCTTGAATTTTTAAAAATAATTTTACTGAAGAGGTCCCAAGTATTGCAAAGAAATTTGCTTTTAAAACTGGTACCTTCATTGTATGAGGACAAGTATCTCTCTTTGATGAACTCATAGCCACTCCTTTATACGTCTAAGGAATTCCTAAGACTCTTGCAGACGCTTTGCACAAGAGTTGATATTTACACAAGTAAAACCTCTTCCAAAAAGTGTAGTTGCATTTCTTTGGTACATGGTGTTGGTCCTGGATGTATGCTTCTGAATCTTTGTTGAATCACTGGTACTCTTGTCTCAGGGGCAGATTTTCCCTTTTTTTTTCCATTCCTTGTTGTCCAATTCAAAAAAAGTGAACAAATATACTGTTTGCATGTTTCCATTATAATTTTGCACTTTTCTTTTGTGCATCTTTAAATTGTTTCCCCATTTGTGTTTTTATTATTATTTTGTTTGTTTTGTTTTGTTAAATGTCTTTTTTTTAGCCATTGTCTTGTTTTTTATTTTTATGTTAATACTATTAGTATTTAACCTCTTTTTACTTATTTATTTTTTTTATTAACTTATTTATTTTGGAGACATTCTCTTTTATTTCACTTACGTTTATTATCTCATTGTTTCACTCATGATCAGGATTCTGGAAGAACAAGACATTTGACAAATGGAAAATGTTCTTTTTCTGTCTCAAAGGTCTGGTGCTGAGTAGTTGTAGCAACCTTTTACCATATTTGTTATAGCAACTTGACACCAAATTGGAGAGGGCAGAAAAGTGCATACATTGTTTCATATGTTCATGTATGTGTGCGTGGGTTTGTGTGTGTGTGTGTGTGTGTGTTTATATTTACATTTCTTTGTGTATAGCTATAAATATTTTTTACTTTCCTTTACAGAAAGAAAAATGGAATGGAACATTTAAATTCACCTATTTATAATATAAACGATAGACCAGTTGTCTGTGCTTGTGAAACAATGAGTGGCATTCAGGAGAGAGAAATGAACCCGAGCATATATTCCCTCTTCGTATATTGTGTGTAAGAGAAACGTCAGAATGGACACTTTTATTATATTTCTCATATTTGAGGAGTTCATTTGATTTCTGACACTTTATGCAAATATTTGATTGATGTAATCGTGTTGCTCTTCAGAGTGACTGCAATTGTGAATACATCATTACAGTTTATTGTTTTCATCATCATAATCATCATTATCATGAATGTTTAGAACAAAACATTTTTCAGCTACATTTGTATAGTAATTATTATTTCTCACATGTCTATAGTAGAATGTGTCGAAGATGGGTAAATTGGAGCGTGATAATCTTTGTTGAATCAGTCATTGCTGTGTGGTCATCAATCAGTGATGTCACGCAGTTTGTCATCAGAATGTCTTGTGAATGAATGTTCATCAACTTTCTCCTTACTGATTTTAAAAAGGCAAAGGTAAAATTCTAGGAGATTTAACCCTAGTATGAATTTTAAGAATAAAAAAATACAAAATGTTGATTCATATGTTCTCCAAAAACTGCAGTGATTCTGTGGAAGATTTTTTTTGAAAGATACAAAACACTCTTGCCTTTTAGACCAAACTGACCATAGCTCATACCAGCATTGCAGAGCTTCATTAGTTTCAGAATATCATTTTGTCACCAGTAATATTTAAGAGGCTGAAAGTTCATTTCATTTCATTTTTCATTCTTTCTTTCATTCGAGTTTTACATTAATAATGGTCATGCATTGTAAGAAAGCAGACAAGAGTATCCTCCACAGTTTCACCAGTTTAGTTGGCTTTGACATCTGTGCCCTTCAGGTATATTCATTTTTTTACAAAAAATCACTGCCTGTTGAAACCCATTGTCTGATATATGTTAATGTTTGCCATGATGAATACCTTGTGTGTGTTTCATATTGGAATAGTATGTATTATATTGTACAGTAGACGAAATCGGTAAGAGACTTCAGTGCTGTTTCATATGATTCAGAATAGTATTAATATGTGTTTAACACTGAAGAAGAATGAATTATGAGACACAAATGCTGGATGACCTCTTTTGCTTGGAAAGAGAAGAAAACTCACTTCAAGATGGTTGTAGAGTTTGTAGTTTCTTTAATTTTCACTTTGTTAAGAGGGTCCTTTTTATACAGTAACCATCTCTTTATTTTGCCTTGGTGCCAAATATGTACGTGGACTTGTTTCCTTTTTTTAATTTTTTTTCTGATTCATGCTTTTATCTTTTTGTGAAAGATTTCAGTTGTCAGGGGAGGAGGCTGGCAGTATGAGAAATAGGAATATGAGGTTTGTGGGTCCTTTGTCCTTTCAAGCAGAGAGGTCCAGCATATCCCAACTAGACATTTCCTATTTGGAAACTATGTTACTTAATGGGAAGTGTCCAAATTACATGAACACTTTAAAAAAAATATATGTATTGTAATAAAAAGAAAGGAAGAAAATTGCTAACTGAGCATGTATTTGTTTCTTTCAAGTCATCTCTTAAGAATTTTTGAACATTTGAAACCCTTGCTTTTTTGTAAAAAACATGGGCTAGCTTGCTAGTTTAAACAAAAAAAAAGAATTAAAACTTAATGTTGATGTGTATTTCTTAACAGAAATGTTTGGTTAGTGCTAGACTGTCAAGATGTAACTTTCACTGAGTGGTAGCATCATAAGGATGGTGAAGAACTAGTGTAAACTAATGATTTCAACCAACAGTGACTGAAAAGATGGTGTTCATGTTACAGAGCCTATATTAGGAATTTTTGAAATTGATAAAAATGTACTCTTTTTATCAATAATTGAAAACATTGATTTGCGGTGGCAAGATTATTGATATTAGTATCGAATTCACACTTCCCAATGGGAATTTTCTTTTATTTAACCTCTTTGTTTACTAGGTGTACTTTGTTTTGCAAAATCCTGTGCGGTAGGATGGTGTAGATTTTACATTTGATATTTTCTGCATATGGTCATTTGCATTTGCTTGTAATTAACAGATAACATTTTGAAATTCAAGTTTTGGGGTCTTGCAGCATGACATAGTTACTGTCATCTGTAATTATTATTATTTTTTTTTTCATCATACTGCATCTTAGTCCATCTGTTTATAGATGTGAAGCATATTCTCAAGAATGATTCCACTATGATATAACAGTTGCCTACACTGTTCACTGCAGACACACCTCAGAATGTAATGCATAGCTTGACTTCCATATGTTCTTTGTCATGACTAACAAGGGCTCGAGAGTCTTTAGAATTTGGATTAAGTATTATTTGCAATATTTTTAAGCCATTAATGTTTGCAGTCTTTACTGTTTAGAAGTAGCAGCTGTTCAGAAACTGCTACCACAGAATGAATATATATCAATATTTGCATGTATAGATTAGTTTTAGTTTTGAAAATGTTACAGGTAATCCACTTTGCCTCAATTAAAAGGATCTGTGGTTTCACCACAGACTAGCAAAACGTTCATATCATCAAGGTTGCTTTTTTAATCTTGACTTAGTCACTGAAGGCAACATTTGTAATCAAATAATTTTGTGGATATTTCTGGAGATGTTTTCAGCAAAGAGAAATCCTCCACAAGTATTCAAAGACATTTTATTTTATTTCATCTAAGGTATATCAACTGGTTGCCAATCAGAAAGTATATCTTACCAATGTTCTTCTTGTCCAACAAAGGCAAATCAGCAAGGAGGTGTTCTTAACTATAGCTTTTCTGTCAATGTTAACAATGTATGTATATATTCAGTTTGTAATTTGTCTGTCATAGGGAGCAGAGAACTCACTTTGCTGAATAGTGGTAAAGCTAATTCATACTTTGGGATCAGCTGTTATGAGCAGTGTTAAATACACCTCTTATCCATCATACTTTTAAATGAGGAACAGGTAAAATTACAGTGCTTTAAAAAAATAAATGCATAAAGAGAAAAAAGTGATTTACCTTGGATTGGACAAAGAATGTTGAAAGTGGTTTATGATTAAACACTTAGACTGGTAATGTTAGTGACTCAAGAGTAGGTGGGTTTAGTAAAGTGGGCTAAGTGTGTTACATTAAAAAAAAAAAAAGAGGTTCTTCTGTGGAATGAAATGGTAATCAACTTTGGTTCTGTTTTTGCTGAGGATGAGGTGGGTAGTGCGCTCCAAAGCTCATAATGGTTGGTCTCGTCACATGGTGTGGTGAAGCC